GACCCTTTCACAGGGGTCGCCTAAGACCATCGGAAAACACATATATAATTACATATTGTTTTTGTGATTAATCACTATGCTTTAATTATGTTCAATTTGTAACAATGAAAATACATCCTGCATATCAGATATTTACATTATGATTCATAACAGTAGCAAAATTACAGTTATGAAGTAGCAACGAAAATAATTTTATGGTTGGGGGTCACCACAACATGAGGAACTATATTAAAGGGTCGCGGCATTAGGAAGGTTGAGAACCACTGCCCTAGCTGGTTTGGCTCAGTTGATAGAGCGTCAGTCTGCGGACTGAAGGGTCCCGGGTTTGATTCCGGTCAGGGGCACATGCCCGGGTGGTGGGCTTGATTCCCAGTGAGGGGCGTGCAGGAGGCAGCCAATCAATGATTCTATCTCATCATTGATGTTTCTCTCTCTCTCCCCTATCCCTTCCTCTCTAAAATCAATAAAAATATATTTTAAAATAAATAAAGATATTTTCAAATCCTTCTAGAAGTTTTAATACTCTACTTTTTACATTTAAGATCAGTTATCCCTGGAGTTTATTTTTGTGTTGGGTGTAAAGTAATGATCAAGTTTATTTTTTTCCCAAAATATTTTCATACCAATTTACCCAATACCAATTAATAAAAAGACTGCATCCTACAGCTCTACAAATACGTCTGTGTTTTCATAAAAGTGTCCATTACCATATGTTTCTATTGCCAGACTTTTCATTTTGTTTCACTAATCTACTTCTCCATCCTTGTGCTGATACCATACAATTTTCACTACTGTGCCTTCATAATAGATATCTGGTACAGTAATATTCCAGCTTTATTTTTCTTCTATAAGATTGCCACTTTATATTTTTGTATAAATTTTTAAAGTATCATTTTCCACAAATTATTCAGGTGCCATGTTCACTTAGAATTACATTGAGCATATAGATCAATTTTGAAAGAATTGGCATTCATACAGCATTGACTCTAAAACCCATGAGTAAATCCATTTATTTAAATCTTTTTAAAAAATTAACATATTGCAGCTTATTATGTGTACATATTACACATTTTTTCTTGGATTTATTTCTGGGTATTTAGTGGTTTTAGATGGCTTTGTGTGTGATTATCTTACTTAAATTTCACTTTCTACTATACTTGGTATATAGAAATACAGTTGATTTTTGTATCTAACAATCTTGCTAAATTTTTTAAAATTCTAATAGTTTCTCTGAATATTATGTGTGTGTTTTTTCTCTTTTGTGCTAAGAATCTCCAATACATGTAGAGTAGGAGTGATGATAGGCATCCTTGTTTCATTTTCAATCTCAAAAAAAAGCTTCATCTATAAATTTTTAATAATATTTTAAAATACATTTTTATTAATTTTAGAGAGAGGAAGGGAGAGGGATTGATATATAGAAACATCAATGAGAGAAATATCAATCGACTGCCTCCTGCGTGCCCCCTACTGGAGATCAAGCCTGCAACCCAGGCATGTTCCCTTGT